AGAGTAGATGGACTAGGCTTGGCCCAAGCTGTCTGCTCCAGCCAAGCAAAGAGGTGTCCTCTACTGCCCCCTGGCTTCTGGCTTGGGCAGGCATGCGGCTGCATTTCTGGAATCAAAAGTAAATGTCTGTTCACTTGTTTATTGGTTCAATTTATGCAGCTTAGACTAACCTGTAAAGATTGAACTGATTCAGCCTTGGGCTTTTTGACTGTCTGTACTTAACCCTGGCAAAGAAAATTACTCAGAGCTGCATGTACAGACATTCAAATGCTATGACCGTGAGTAGAGAGCTTGCAGGAGTAGAGTGCTTAACCAGTGCAGCTAGGGGAGCCCTTGTACACACATTTCAGCAAGCTCTGAAGGCTTCCTTGTTTGGCCCGGCAACAGATAGCACCAATGCATAGGGCAGCACTGACTAGCTGCCCCAGACTGCCTATGGTCATCCCATGTTCCCCTGCAGCACAATGTTGGGATTGTGAAGGGGAAATATTTTGGTCCCTGCTGAAGTAGCATAGTCTAGCATACAATACACTGTCTCCCTGGAGGAGGGGATGCTGGAGGACTATGTTCTCTTCTGAGAGAAGCCATGGCATGTACAGACCTTCACTTTCTCAGGAGAAACTCTCCTGTAAGTGACTTGAACCCTGGTTGTTCCCACATTATTTTTCTTGAAGTGGCCATTTTTACTCTGGGGGAAAAAGCCTGAACATTTGTGTACTCATGGTTTCTCCGGGGAGAGCAGTGACTCTCCCAAGAGAAACTGAATGTCTGTATGAGGCCTTAATTTCCATTTTGTATGGACATGCCTATATTAATCAAACCCATCCTCACCAGCATAAGTAATGGCAAAGAACAATTTTTCATGTCAGCATAGAGAAGAGTTGGTTAAATATTGGAATGCAATAGATTAAGTGCTTAGAAATAATAATTTCAAAATATTTAGAAGAAAAGATTTAAATATTTTTAATGAGAGAAGTGATATTATGTCCAGTTACTTGCTATTCATGCCTACAAGCTATTCACTCCAAGTAATCTGAAGTCCAGAAAAGGCCTTTAAACGAGGTGTCTAAAACCTTAGCTGCTAAAGTACCCCTGTTAAAAAAACAGACAAACTATCATGTTTCAGTGAATAAAGTAAAATGTAATTCTTCAGATAAAAAAAATCCCACCTGTCATTAGGCTGTGCATTAACAAAAGCAAGAGGAGAGCATTAGAGTAAAGATGTTAATAGTTCCACTGCTAGTGAAAATACATTGGCATAAAGGAATCCCTCACAATCAAAATGTACAAAAAATATGCATTTTTTTTAATCAGACAACAAAGATCTTGATAAGACTAATTTATTTAATAAACTAATATCAATACTTGAATTAAGCATTAGCACAGACTTAACCAAGCGACTGCTAAACATTTAACATGAGTTGGCACTTGTATCTCATGAAAGCTTCAGTCCTTTGTGTGAGAGAATTATCCTTCTAAGATATTAGTATGAGTGCAGACATATAGAAAAAGAACCAACACGTGTTTCAAATATAGGAATTAAAGACAGGATTTTTGTC